GCCCTGCCCGGCGTCGCATCCGGGCACTGCCCCGGGGGAGCCCCCGCTGGCTGCTGGCCCTGCTCCTACCTCACAGCACCTGTCTCCACCAGCCGGATGATTTTCCTCTTGGATACGACAGTGTAGAGCAGGTTCAGGCGCCCGTACTCCCACTGCACAGGGCAGTAGACATCCAGAGCATTGCACAGCCAGAAGTAGGAGGAGCGCCTGCGACGGAGGTTCAGCCTCACACCCATCCATGGACACACTGTCCCCCAGCACTTCGGCAGCCACCAGGACGTGGCCAGTTGCCAAAAAAAAACCCCACCAGGTCCACCCGAGCTATGGGCCACGCTGTGCATGGTGATCACCTGGCCTGGAACTCCTTGGTGCAGAGGGAGTGCGTGATGTGCTCGATGGAGTCGCAGAGGCAGTGTGTGTAGTCGTACGTGGGGTAGATGCACCTGCAAAGGCAGACACAGTCAGCCCGGAGACAGAGCCCGGTGCTGCTCCCATCCCAACACCTCCCTGCTCCCGGGAGATGCAGATCCACACATCAGGACACCACAGACCCTCCCTACCACTTGTCCCCGGTGCGGTGGTGTGGAGTAAACTTGACACGGTACGCAACAGGGTCCATCTTCCCGTCCTCCATCACCAGCTTCATGCGCAGCGTGGCCTCTCCTTCCCCAAACTTGCCCTTCCGCATGTCCTGTGGGGCGGGGGGAAGCTGTCAGCTGAGCCAAGGGCCCGGACCCCACCGGCACACAGTGCCTGTGCCCAGCCAGGAGTACCTCGAAGAGCAGGAGCGACTCCTCCACCGGCCGGTACCGCCATGGCGAGGGTGGGGGGATGCGGCACTTGCTCTCGTTGACCGAAAAAAACCTATGGAGTGACACACCCATCCCCAGACACAAATGACCCGTCCCCGGGGGGAGGGAGAACCCTGGCCATGGCACAGGACATCTGCACCATGGTGGTACGTCCATTCTGCCCCAGAACACTCACCTGCGGATGAGCTCCAGGGCCCAAGCGTAGAGCTGGTCAAAGTAATCTGACGCGTGGGTCACTGCATAGGGCTGGTAGCCTGTGGGGATGGGGGAACACGACAGTTGAAGGCACTCCCAGGATGCAGCAGCAGGACCTGCATGCAGGGATGTCCCCAGCAGCGCCCAGCCTGACCCTGCCCTCGCCATCCCGAGCCATACCCAGCCACTCCACCATGTCCCGGATGGCGGTGAAGTACTTCTCCTCCTCCTTCTCGGGGTTGGTGTCATCGTAGCGCAGGAAGCACACACCACCGTTGGCCTGGGGACGGGGACAGTGAGCAGCTGCTCCCTGAGGGACCACGGGGCCAGGCCAAGCAGCCAGGGGAGGCAGGAGCTGGGGAGCTTCTCACCTTGGCATAGCCAAAGTTGAAGTTGATGGCTTTGGCATGGCCAATGTGCAGAATCCCGTTGGGCTCAGGAGGGAACCGTGTCCGCACCTGCAGGGGGAAACAGGCACCTCTGGGAGCACTGACATGATCCCCTGATGACCCCACAGACCCCCCCGTGCCACAGGGGCGCCGACCATGTCCCCAGGCCAACCCACCCACAGCACAGCAGTGCCACCACCACAGGGAACCTCTGTTCTGGGGGTCACAGCCTCACCTGCCCCCCCGTGATTGCCAAGTGCTGCTTCAGCAGAGCCATGGTGTTGGGGGTCACCACATAACCCTCCGTCTTGTAGTTCTCTCCTGCGGGCAGAGGATGCTCAGGGCTGCAGCACCCAAACTGAGCCAAGCCCAGCAGAGGTGAGGAAGGACACGGGGCCAGGCTGGTCCCACACACGCAGCAGTGGCTTCTCGCACTCACCCGGCTTGTGGAATTTGAGGGCTTCTCCCCGCAGCTGCTCCAGCAGGGACCGTGTCTCTGTGCCCACCTCACCTGCAGGGAGACACGGGGCTGAGCAGGGGCAGGAGGCAGGTCCCAAAGGGCTGGGGAGGCTGCCCATAGTAGGACAGTCTCTTACCATTCTCCACCACAGCC